ATAAGGGGATTTTTTATTTAATGGCACTTTAAGTAAAGTACATCTAATTTTGAAAAACTAGTATAATGAATGATATACTGTAATTATTTTATGACTTAGTGATTCCTGTCAAGCCATCTGTGCATCTCTTTCATTATCCTGATTGCATTATCTTATACAGTGACCCAAAATATTTTATTTTTTCTGGTACATTAGTGAAATGTAAATTTATGTATTTAATTTGGAACATAAAACAAATGAATGGTTCTGGATTATGCATAAAACATCACTGTGGAAAACTTGGTATTTTATGGATATGTAATATTTATATTTATGATTTAAAGCATTTAATTAGCTTCTTCTGAAGCTTTGATATAATAATCAACAAATTGTTATGATACAAATCCTCAAGAGATCACATATATTACCAAAATTGTGAATATTTTTCACTTTGTTATTCCCCCTTTCTTTCTAACAAACCACTCCAAAGGGAAAATAGTTTTATCATAAACAAAACATCCTTATACTGTACGTAAAGGATAAGCACCCTTTAAAAATAGACTCAGAAAATACCCCCCCAGGGTTGATGTGGTGTGGAGTGGGGTACACAAAAAGCTGATCTTTATTAAAGCTGAGGTATAGCTTCTTGGGAGGGGGTGATACTGGGAGAAACAGTAGGTTTTCGATACACTAAATATATGAAGGAATTAAATTTTGCAGGTCAAGCAATGTTTACTTGGCTTTTATGAAAGACTAGGTACAAAAAAATTAGACCTTACATTTTACAAATGAAAAAGTATGAAATCTAATGATGATCAAGCAAAAAGTCAACTAGACACACATTTTACATATTTGCAGCCAGGTCTGCCTAACTGGTGAATTACCACACAATTCAGATATTTAGGTAATTGTGATTCATTATTTGTATGATTTGTTTAGTAGTTTCAAAAAGTTTACTTGTAAATAAAAAGACCAGTTCAGGCCTGAAGAAGTTGCAGGCCTTAAAAATCTTCATTTATTGACAAATCCACAATGTACAAATCTTGGTACAAAATGTTGAAGCATTTCAGCCTACATGGCTTTAGTCATAACTATCATTGCAACATAAAACCACAAAAAAAAAGTGGTAAGAATCAAAAGCTCCAGCTAGCAAATGCCTCATTCACAGAAAATTACAAAGATGGCACAGCTGATAAAGAAATTCACAGAGCCTATGTGAAAACCACTATTGCAAACACACATATAACCAAAAACACAAAAGGAAACCAAAAAACAAATAATACAAAATAATGAATAAAAACAATTACTAAGTAACTGTATGTTTAAAAATCCATGAAAATCCATGGGAAGAGAAGGAGAATAAAAAAATCAATGCAGATGGAGATCTAGAGCCCATCTTAAATTTACCCCTTGAGGGGCTCTCTTTCTTAGCTTAAATATCCACCATGCCTCCCTTCCCAAACGTTTTCTCTCTCTATCACCACTTCCAGGCAGATGGGCCAGCCTTTTTATGCCACTGAACCTGAAAGAGGAGAGATCAACACAAGGACAATCCCTGAAATGATGGGATGCATTAGAAATTTATCTAGCATTTAGATTATTTGAGTCACAGTAATACTCTCCAATTCTAGTTCTTAATGTTTTTGTGGTACAATCAACGTACTGCAAGTTAAATGGAATGCAAGTAATCAAATAAATCACATAACTGGTTCCACAAATAGGTGTCCGTTTGTGAACCAGCGGTAATAGATCACTGCTCAGTTCTCCGGCATTCTCGGAGAACACAGTTCCCCTGTGAATGCAGTTTATGAAGCAGTTCTCCGAACGAAGGGAGAACGGTCTCCAAACGCTGGAGAACGGTCTACAAACTCTGAAAAACGGCTCATTTTACTATAATCTCTCAAGATTACAGTAAAAGATCAGTTTACTAAACAGAGGTAAACTATCTCTGCTTAGTTTGCGGTCCCTCTGATTCTCCAGCTCTGGGCTGGAGAATCTGGAGGGAGAACACAGATCTCCAGAGAAGGGCTGACATGATCTCCTGAGTGTCATAAACTGTGAATGACCAGAGAATAGCTGAGATCTGTTGAATCACAGCTATTCTCTGTGTCATAAACGGACACCTTAATGTATTGTTGAAAAAAAATTGCTCTCCAGTGACAGAGGAAGAAAAAGATTTTCCAGATAGATATCCGCTACAGAAGATTTTACCCCCTTCATGACTAGGCCATTTTTTTAGTTTGTCACTGAGCTACTTTAACTACTTTGCTCGATCACAAAAAGCTGTATGCAAGTGAAATGTATATAATGTTTTTAACACAAATAGAGATTTCTTTTGGTGGTATATCACCACTGGGTTTTTCAATTTTTTGCTATGTAAACAAAATAATACAGTACATTTTTGAAAAAAAAAAAAAAATATTTTCTAATTTCTGCTATAAAACAAATCCAATGAAAGAAATGTAAAAAAAAATAATTTCTTCATAAATTTTGGACAAATTTGAGAGAGTGTATATTGATTGGTTTGCGTGAATGAAAGCTATAGCGCCTACAAACTATAGTGTATATACTGGGATTTTTGTATACTAGTATTGGCCAGTGATACTAATACAGTGATCAGTGCTAACAATTTACACTGTCACTGTACTAATGACACTGACTGGGAAGGGGTTAACATCTAGGGCAATCAAGGGGTTAAATGTGCCTACAATGTTTAGTGTGTTTATTGCCTGATGTATTAAGCAATGTGCTGTTTTTTACTGCCTACTTAGCACTGCTGTATCAACACAGAGGTCTCTTCTGTCATTCTGCTGAGCCGATCAGTGGGTCCCAGCCATAAATCATTGGTCAGGATTGGCTGATCGGCTTGTGCTGCAGCCAATGACAGTGCAGTTTTCCGGGTCTGCGTGTGCATGCGCACATGGTGGGAAGAATTGGTTTTATTCTACACAGACAATTGCTTTGTTGAAAAAAATTTGTGGCACCAGTCAAGAGCCCTTCTCCATGTGTATTTCTTAATCTATCTGGAATATCTTTTTCTTCCTCTGTCACTGGTGAACAATTTACTATTTAACAATACATTCATTGTGGAAACAGATATGTGATTTGATTACTTGCATTACATGGAATTTGCAGTATGTTGGTCTTACTACATGAACATTAAGGAATAGAATTGGAAAGCACTACTGTGACCCAAATAATCTAAATGCTATATTTCTGGTACATCCCATCATTTCAGGGATTGTCATATATGTAAACCGGCTTTTACACTAACCCTCCCTATAACCCCATTTACATACAGAATCCAGTGGGGATCTGTCATTTGCAACTGGAGTGATGACAGGGAAACATTAGGGTTCAGCAGACCATCATTATTACTCTTAAAAAAGTGCACTTTTTGCACCCTTTACTGTTTTAAAGTGTACCTTTCCCCTTTAACAGGTAAGTGCACTTTAAAAAGTAATGTATCCTTTGTGCCCCTTTCCCTGATGTAACCTAACCTGCCCTTCCCCTCCATAGATGCATACTTACCTTGATCTGACTGCTGAGGTTTCAATGTTTGAACAGCTAAGATTTGCATTGTTGGATGTAAATAAACAGTGAGACCTCCACAGTCAAATCAAGGTTTTTATGCATCTCTGAAGGAGGGGGTGGGTTAGGTCAGATCAGGGGAAGGGGTAAATAGGAAACATTAACTTTGTTTTAAGGTCCACTCATCCTGTAATACTCTTTTGACACTTCTGGGAGTGTTGGATGTCTGGGTCTCCTGCCACCTGTCATTGTCCCATCCTCCAGCATCTGATTCACTTCTGAGTCTTTTTTAACAGACGGGGTCAGATTTAATAATCAAGCATATTCTCTACAATGCTCATATCCTCAAATAAAAATTAAACATGATTCAATAAAGTGTCCTTTGGGATTCAATAAAATCTCCCTGTGCATATAAAGTGTCCAAGTGCTTTCAGTTATTCACAGTATAATGCCTTCAAACTTATTAAAGTGTCTGTGCTAAAAAAAGTGCTCCATTTCCAACAATCAGTGCCATAGTGTTCCCAAAATCCTCCACCATAAACACAGAACACTCACCAGATTTGTATGACTACCTATCACAGGTGAGTCTTACAGTGCTTAGTATCAAGGGTAACCTCCATCACCCTTCTCCTTCTTGAGCCAGCTGCACTCTTTCCTTTTAAAAACATGTAGGGAGAGATGGAGGGAGACTACCATAGTGTGAAATCTTTAAAACCTTTTATTCAATAAAAAACATTTCTACAATGCCCACTCCCATTATTAGGTGTATACCCTTGCACCAGGATAAAAACACATGTTACATCATATGCATAGGGATAACACAGATCTGGCTCTAGGCTCTCTCACCACCACCTTCTTCTGTATTAACCATTTCCGGTGTCACTGTGTGGGATGACGTCCCTTCCTGCTATGCCCCGACACAGTGTTTCATCTTCCTGACGTTCTCCAGAGGCACCTCTAAGTGCTGTATTACTCACCTGTGATAGGTAGTCATATAAATCTGGTGAGTGTTCTGTGTTTATGGTGGAGGATTTCGGGAACACTATGGCACTGATTGTTGGAATGGTGCACTTTTTTGAGCACGGACACTCTAATAAGTTTGAAGGTATTGTGCATTATACTGTGAATGAATGCACACAGAGACTTTATTGAAGCACAAAGGACACTTTATTGAATCATGTTTAATTTTTATTTGAGGATATGAGCATTGTAGAGAATATACTTGTTTATTGCACATGCTTAACCTCTTGCCTACAGGACACTTATACCCCCTTCCTGCCCAGGCCAATTTTTAGCTTTCAGTGTTGTAGCACTTTGAATGACAATTGTGCGGTCATGCAACATTGTACTTATATGATGTTTTTATCATTTTTTTGAGACAGATAGCGCTTTCTTTTGGTGGTATTTAATCACCAGTAGGTTTTTAATTTTTTGCTTAACAAACCAAAAACAACTGAATATTTTGAAAAAAGAAAATGTGATTTTTCTCCTTCACTGATGTGCGCTAATGAGGCTGCAGTGATGGGCACTGATAGGCGACACTGATGAGAAGGCACTGGTAGGCGGCACTGATGGGCATTGACAGGCATCACTGATGGGCACTGAAAGGCAGCATTCATATATGGCACTGATAGGCGGCACTGATAGGTGGCACTGATAGGCAGCACTGATAGTCTGCACTGACTGGCACTGTTAGGTCACACTGTCTGGCGCTGTTATGCAGCACTGATAGGTGACACTGATGGCGGCACTGATACACACTGATAGGTGGCACTGATTGGCACTGACTGGCAAAACTGATAGGCGATACTGACTGGCACTGATAGACGGCACTGACTGGCACTGATAGGCAACTCAGATGGGCACTGATATGTGACATTGATGTGCACTGGTAGGCACTGATATGTGGCATTGATGTGGCACATATGGGCACTGGCAGGTGGCATTGATAGGCACTGACAGGTGGCATTGATGGCACTGACAGGTGGCACTGATGGGGCTGCACTAATCATCAGGACACTGATCATCAGTGACCTGAGGATCAGTGTACATGTCCCCTCTGAGTAATGCCGATTACCGGCTCTCCTCTCCTCATGAGCTGTCAGCGTGACAGTTCATGAGGAGAGGAATGCCAATAACCAACATTTCCTTATTTACATGCGATCAGCTGTGATTAAACACAGCTGATCATGTGACAGAGCCTATATCATCGGCTCTTTCCGTTGATCAGTGATCCACTGTGTCCCAGGGACACAGTGTACCACCTGAGCACCCCCGGGGGCGCGCACCCACGGTCAGAGTGGGAGGACGTCATATGACATCCTCCAGAATGAGAGAACCGCCTTGTACCCGTCATTTCCTTATATGGTGGGTGGGAGGTGGTTAAACAAAAAACAATAGTGCTGTACAGGGGCGGACTGACAACTCATGGGGCCCCTGGGCAATAGGGGATCATGGGGCCCCTGTGTCCTTTCCCAAAACTCAATGAAACCAAATCCTCTATCCTAAACCTCCATACACCTATCCAGACCCGAACAATGCTAGCCAAACAATTCCCCTTTTCTTGGGAACAACACAACATTCCTTATTTAGGGATCAAGCTCACTGCTATGACAGATCAGTTATATTCTTCGAATCACAAACTCTTACTTGAAACCATACCACGAGAACTTACCAACCTCCGCACAGCAACACTATCTAAACTAGGAAGAGTAGCAACTCCAAAAATGTACATACTACCGAAAATTCTATATATACTCCGCACACTCCCCATCCCCATTCCCAATACTTTCTTCTCTAAATTACAATCAATCTTTTCCAAATTCCTCTGGAACTCTTAAAAACCCAGATGCACTACAAATCTCTTAATACGTCCAAGATCCAGAGGGGGAGCAGGTCTCCCACACCTAAAATCATACTATGGATGCAAATGGAGAAACAGAAAAAGGGCGCACCGACCTAGTGCATTATCGTTTAAAATATTTATTGAAGAAATAAAGTAAGTATCATACTCACAATAGACATAAAAACACAGGCATGTCAAACTGAACAAGATGCATGATTCAAACCAGGGGCGGACTGACAACTCTAGGGGCCCCCGGGCAATAGGGGATCATGGGGCCCCTGTGTCCTTTCCCAAACTCAAAAACGCCTATAAAAAAGGTACCAGGGGTAATTCATGGGGCCCCCTACTGATCCCAGGCTCTCGGGAAGTGCCAGAGTTTACAAATGGTCAGTCCGCCCCTGGTGCTGTGTATAAGATAAGGGTATATATAAGGGCTGATACGATTAGTGTAGCGCTTGGTACAGCAGCTGTAGTGAATTAAGGGATCACATCCAAAGCACTGGTTTACAATATTTAAATGAGTTTTAATGATGATTGGAGACCAGTATTATACTGACATACTGTACAGTATAAGGTCTCATTTATAAAACTTTTTTCATTGTTTCAGAGAATTGCTGCTGATCTGCAAAACAGTTTACATTAAACAAAGCTCTGTAACATGTCAAAACTTTTTTGTCTTTTTCCTGTGATACTTGGAATGGATTGGTGGAAAGGTGGCAGGTTCTAAAACACTGAAGAATGTTTACTGAATGCTTTGTTTACTGTCCTATTTCTCTTTGTTTGTTCCATATCAGTTTCAAAAGAAGTAATCTGTGCTAGGCAATGACACGGGTGCTTTTCTTTTCATATGAATTCTGTCAGAAGTTATGAACGCTCTGTCAACTCATAAATACTCAACGCGCTAAACTTTAGCAATACAATTTTTTTTCTCTTTTTATAAATTCTGTAAAAGTGACGTTTGTATCCTCATTTAAAAAAACGTCACATCTGTGATCCCAGAGGTAGCTTTGAAGTTTCCCTTGAAGTCCAGTTCCCTTTAAAATATGTTCCCTGCAGATAAAAAGATTACAAATATACAGAGGTGACATTAAATGTTTACAAAACTCTGAAACAAGTAAATAATTCTTATTCAAAAACCTGTTTGATTACAGGTTATTGATTTCTCAATACTTTAAATGTGCATGTAACTAGATTATATTTCTGTATAACTTTTGGTCCAAAATAATTGGCTGACCATGTCCGCTGAAAAAAACTTTATTTTGAATCAAACATAAAAGGAATAATAAAGTACTGCTGCTAATAACTATACTGAAGTATATACCTTTTAAGGGCTTATTTACATGTGTGGTTTAGGGGGCAATAAAAACACACAGTTAAGTCACATTTTTACCACCACCCCAACTGCTTTTCTTAAAGCTGCAAAGCCAGTGGGCGGGAGTGTACACTTTCTACAACTGTGAAGGTGGTGCAGTATTATGGGGTTTAAACATTTAAACAGGTATACAATCATGGATTGCTTTTCAGACGCAGCAGTCTTTGCTGCATGCGCAAACCTGTCCTTAACCCTTTGAGGACCAAGGGACGTATTTGTCCCATGTTTGTAATTGCGTGTATCATCTGATTAAGAACTTAAAACTTTTTTTTTTTTTGGTTTGAGTCAAAATATTAGTTCTTATCAACAAACAACAAATGGATCTAGCTTTTTGCCAATTATTTCATGAAATGGCTTAGTTACAGCAACTGAAATGTACAAACTTTAAAAACAAAAAAATTGATTCTTTTGGCGTTCCAAAACCTTACGGTCCTCAAAGGGTTAAAGGAAAGGTTCTTACTTTTCTCTAGTTTTTGCATAGATTGATTCAGATGTAAACCCTAACTGAATGGCATTTCATTTGCTAAGCACCATGTGTTATAAACTAATGCTATTTTTAAAATAAAATTCCTGATTTTTTTTTTTCATTTTTTGTTGTATGTCAGTGTTGCTGATCTTTTGCAGCCTTTTTCCACCTCATTCTGTTTGCTATGACTGTGCGGCATTTCTGAAGGTGGGTTCCTGATTGTAAAAACAATGAATTATGCATGCTTCATATGTTGTGATACACCCATTTACAGTATATTCTCGATTGGAACCCAGTGTGACATGGTGACAATGGAAAATTACAACTGGGAGACGGGGCCAAAAGGAAGTAGGTAAGTACATAAACAAGGACCTTCATGGCAATCACCACGTGACTTTGTTAGTGTGATATGGTGACACAACATGTAGGGAGGAGCCAGTGATGTCATAGTACATCTCTTGGAAGTAAGCTGTGAATGCTGTATGCCACTGAGTGTTCCATATACCCTAAGGGGGCAGTACAAGGGAATATCAGAGCAATGTAATCGGATGTGGTTAAATAAAGATGTTTTTGAGATGCTGGAAAGTGCTATGATTTTTTTTATTCTTTTGAGCTTCTGTGGAGAGTGAATAGAGCCTTATATACTTACCTGTGGGATAAACCTGGATGGATATGGATGGAGAGTTCTGTATGAAGATTTTGTGAAAAGAGCTCAGTTGTGTGGATATAGACCCTCTAAAAGGTAAGGTGCAGTTGACATAAATTGGAATTGGTGGTGGAGGATTGACACTGATATTGAACAGTGAACAATAGGATAAATTAACACTGCCGCATAAGTTAACCACTTCCAGACCGGACACTTTTACCCCCTTCCTGACCAGGGCAATTTTCAGCTTTCAGCGCTATCACACTTTGAATGACAATTGCGCAGTCATGCAACAGTGTACCCAAATTAATTTTTTACCATTTTTTTTGAGACAGATAAAGCTTTATTTTGGTGGTATTTATTCACCGCTGGGATTTTTTATTTTTTTTGCTATGTAAATGAAAAAGTCCAAAAATTTGAAAAAAAAAGTGTTTTTTTTTATAAAATTTTGCAAATAAATAATATTTCATCATAAATCTTGGCCAAAATTTATTCTGTTATCTTTTTAGTAAAATAAAAACAAAAAACAAAATTAGTTTATAACCAAAAATTATAATTTTTAAACATTTTTTTTTTACATTTTTATTTTTTTTTATATTATTTTTTATTTATTTATTTTTTTACATACTGTCACCCTAGCAGTACAGTGTCACCATGGTGACACTGTACTACTTGTGGGGGGTGATGAAGATTTGTTTAATTTTTTTTTTACACTGATTGCTTTTACACCTATATAGGATGTAAAATCAATCATTTCTCTTTCTCTCTGTCTGCATTCTTGCAGTCATTGAGAAGTATTGAGTGAGCTGTGATTGGTCACAGCTTGTCACATGGTACAAGGCTGTTGTGAATAGCCTTGTACCATGTGACCTCTGTGATCATTCACAGATTTCACACGTAGTAAGCAATGATGTCACAAGTGACATCTTGCTTACTACTTTGCATGTGATCACTGATTGGCCAATCAGTGATCACATGATCGGGACCTCGTACAGAGGTCCCGTCCGATGATTGGTGTTTCACTGTGTCCGGAGGACACAGCGGGCACCAGATCGCGGTGCTGCGCCCTCCCAGGGAGCACGCACAAGCAGGGTGCGGGGAGACCGTTTATAAATGGCCACCCAACCCTGCACTGCCACCGTCCGACCGTTTATATACAACGGCCAGTCGGGAAGTGGATAAGAAGTGATTGTTTTAATTCAAACAAATGTAAAACAGACATTTTTATGATCTATATGAAAACATTTTTGTTGGTTTGACGTTTAATGCATGTTTTCAAAGCACATATTATACATTGCTTTTGATTGATACTGTGCAGCACTGATTTGTATTTAATTTGATTTATTCTTATGTAGAAATGCAACAGTATTATCATCACTAAATAGGATAGTTGGGTATTTAGTTGGGCAGGAGTTCTGATTTTACATTCATTTTGGTGTATTTTTTCCTGAAAATACATGTTTGCACAAATATTGTGTGACATCAAAAATTGCAAAAGCCAC